ATAAAGGACCCTGGAAAGTAGGCCAGGTCTTCATTCACAGGGGATTCTAGACCACCAGGTGACATCCATGTAGCCCCAAGACACCTTTTCTCTGACTTCCACTGGCCCAGAGACAAGATGAGCTAGAGGCCATCTTGTAGAGAGCCTGAGTGGACACAGGAGCCAGTCACCCACTTTTCAGTGGCTCTCCCAGCACTGGGGGATCCCCATCAGTGTTGGTGAGGGGCTAGGACCTACAGCAACAGAGATGAGACCCCGTGTTCACCTCTGCTCACCTCCCAGACTGGGACCTTGCCCAGGCCGATGCTGATGAGTCTGCCAGTGGGATGTCTGTGGGTGGGCAGCTGAGGGAGCCTGGTCAGGAAATAGCGGCTGTGGTGGAGGGCTCTTCCTCCCACTGTGTGCATACAGCTGCTCCTGCTGGCAGCCAGCTCAGGGCAGGCCTCTGTCCCGGGCTGGCTTTGGCTTCCCAATGTTCCTTTGGGTGGAGGACAGTGTGTGTCTAGGGAAGCCTTTGATCACATACCCCCAAACTGAGGGTCTCTACTTTCTCTCGATGCCTGCCCTCCTCTCCTTGGTTAGCCCGCGCCCCGCTTGCTGCTAGCGCCAGCAAAGCTAGGGTTTGCATTGGCTTCAGGCCAAACCCCGGAATGTGCCTGCTGGCTGCCCGGCAGCTGTTCCTGGAAGAGGGGCGACAATGCACAGACTGTCTGTGAGATGGGGGGGTGGATGGGGTGCAGGCTGGCCAGAGCTGTGCATGAATAGAGCACAGAGGCCCTGAGACAGAGATGAATGGGCTCACTGAGCCCAGACACCCCTGAATGGGTTAGGACATCCAAAGATGCATTGGAGCTTGGAACTGGCCACCCGGGAGCCCCCACCTGGGATATGACCTATGTGAGGTCTGGGAAGAGGTAGTTGTGAACACATGCCACCCAGAAACTCTGTGGAATAGGGAACAGTGCACCCCAGTACTCAGATCCACAGGTATACTTGATTCAGGCACTCAGAAAGGGGTTACAAGGGATGGTGTCACAATGCCAGACACAGCCAAAGGTCATTTCACCCTCACACTGGTATGTGTCAGGCGCAGCACTTTGGAACTCAGTTGTGGGGGTGCAAGACACCCAGATTCTTGGATCAGTGGGGTTCATATCTCCCACATGCTGCTAGATTGTGTGGGGTCTTCAGATATTCATAGCAGGAACTCTGACGCTCAGAAGGTGAAGCAGCCAGTCTGGCGCCATGCATGAATAGAGACTGGAACCAGAAGGGATATGGACTCATATGGGCCGTGACGCCTGCTAGTGATGAATGGGCAGTGGACATCCAAAGACGCAGTGGATCTTGGAACGGCTTCTGGGGGCCCTTGCCTTGGGATGTGGGCCTGCGTGAGAGACAGGCAGTGGGGTGTTAGGCTGCCAAAGACCCTGGTGAAGGAGGACAAGCTGTCCAAACCTCAGGCGATGATGAAGAGGAAGACTGGGGCCTTGGAGTGGGGCGCATGTCAGCGTCAGCCAGCACTCTTGGGTTGGCGCACAGCTCCTGGGTGGTGGGGAGGGTTGGCTGAGACCCTGGAAACTGGGGCGGGGGAGCTGTGGTGTGATTCTTGAAGTCTTTTCTACCTAGCAGTTTAGAGGAATGAGAGGCAGGCTGCCAGACACCCAGAAAGGCAAGGGTTCCCAGGAAGAAGCTGCAGGGTGCAGCTAGCTAGGAACATGAGCATAAGCTCTCTGTTTAGCCTAAAGGAAGCCATAATCTCCATATCTCCAGCTATGGGGGTGAAGGGACAGGGCTGTGCCCAGCCTTAGATGGCCAGCTATACTTGTGGAGAAGTGTGGAAGGTGCTCGGATCTCTGAGAACCTGTACATACAGCACACAGACACCCGGAGGTGTGCCAGCTGCACATATGCACAGAAGACTAGGGTGGGACATGGGGACCCTCAGACAAGGATATAGGATAGTGAGCCTCACAAAGTGGGTGTTTGGAACCTCGCCACTGTGATGCTGAGAGTAAAAGGTACCCAGACACCCAGACAAGTGAGGTATCAGGTCTCCAGGGTTTGACCACCCTAGTACTCATGTGAGCAGAGTACCCACACCAGAACTCCAACAAAAGGTGAGATAGAATCTACCAGAAAAGGCTGGGAATGAAGGTAATGGGTAGAGTGCTTGCCTAGTACACATGAGGCCCCGAGTTAACCCACAGCACTGTAAACTGGGCTTGGTAGCCTGTAATCCCAGCACTCAGGAGGTGGAAGCAGGGGGATCATAACTTCAAAGTCATCCTCAGCTACATAATGAGTTCCAGGCTAGCCTGGACTATATGAGACCCTGTCTCAAAATTATAAAGAAGCTGCTGCTATACCTTTCAAGGCAAGGAATTGGGTAAAGGCTGGAAAGCCCAACTGTTCACAAAAGACTACTCTGAGGACTTGGGGTGGCCAGGATGGAAATGCTAAAGAGATTGCGAATGGGAAACTCAGGTCCATAGTGTAGTGGGCTGTGGGGACCCCGTGTCCAGCTAATGGAGCATAGGTACCCACACTCTCAGACCCATGGGTTCCGAGCTGAGAACTCAGCAATCAGCTCTTGAGCAGGCTCAGCTCATGGGGCACAGGTAAAGAGTGCAGACACCTGGGCGGCTGGGGGTGGGCAGGCAGCCCAGAGTTCAATGAATGGCACACAGAGAGCTGAGACAAGGGTGAATAGGATGCATACAGCAGTGTGATGCCCAGAACGGCGTGTCCAAAACCACAGGAACGCGGTGCCGGCCCAGGGCCTCCAGCCCGACATGCAGGCCTATGTACCTTGTGTCAATAGGCAATTCAGTAGATCCAACAAATGGGGTACAGGCTGTCCAAGACCCTGATGACCACAGAATGGAGCTCCTGTTCCCAAATGAACAAGGAACATGTCACCCAAATTCAGAAACACTTGGGTACTTGGGAAACACACCCCAGGTGTTCACAAATGTAGATTAAAGACACTGTTCTATGGTTTCCTTGGACAGAGACCCCCAAATCAGTGTGTATGAGGCCTTCATAAAGCCATATGATAGATGGGGTCCTGGACTCCAGTTCCCTGAAGCCCTTGGGAGAGACATCCAGTCATTCAGTGAGTTCCACCATGATAGGGCATGTGTCCCCACATATACAGGGCATGGAAGACTCACCTGGGCACTGTGGAGATCAGGGTTCACATGCCTGGAGTCCCCAATGGAGTCTCAAAACTCAGTGTGCCATGTTCAAGGAAGCTGAAGCTTAACATCCTGCTCAAGTAGGGTGTGGGGTTCTGATGTCGCAGTGATGGTGTACAGCCTATGGCAGAGCACAGGCAGGAGGCTCTTCCCTAGATGCCCTGGTAATGGTGTCTTTCTCTAGATTCGGGGACAAGGGGGTGTAGCTTCCCTGAATGTTACGAGTGTTCCTTGGGTGTGTAGGTGGTGGACATTCTCCAGTGCTCGATAGGATGCAGCCTTATCAGATGTTCAAGTAATGAGGTACAGGCTCCCCAGATGTTCAGAAGTTGGGGTTCATCTTCTCAAAGTGTCTAGATAATGGGACTCAGGTTTATTCTGATGCTGGAAGGTCAGAGACATTGTGCCTAGCATGTGTCCCTCAGTGAAAAAGACACAGAAAACCTGAGTAAACACACAAGTCACATACAGAAGTCTGAGACAAGTTGAGCACCATCTTTGGCTGTCTCAGACCCCGGGTAAAAGGGGTGCCTAGAAGGATAGGGCTCCCAGCAGGGTCAGTACAGGCAGGGAGCACATGTTCCATCCCAGCACGTCTCCTGCTTCTTTGCCAGAGGCTCCAGCTCTCCCGCCAGCGTCTGCCTGCCGTGTGTTCTGACCTCAAACATTCCCCAGGCACCCTCAAAGGAAGCATCCGAGTCCAGGAGCCCCGCCAGGGTCTCCACGGGGCTTCTGGCTGCCAAGCCGCCGTCTGGGGGCCGCGGGCCTGGCCGTGGGCTGCCAGCTCTGTTTGGTTTTCTCCTTCCTGCCTCAGAACCTCAGACGCCGTCTCGCCACGGAGGCGCCCTCATTCTGGAGAGGCACAAAGCCCCTACACAGCTTGGTGGTGGGAGCTACTTGTGGGGCCTGAAGCTCTGATCTGCAGGGGCCTGGTGGGTCCCAAAGTACAGGTGATTGCCACCAGGGTGCCTTACTATCTCTGCAGGCACACCACTGGCCCCCTGATCTTATCTATAAGTCCCTGTCACATCACCTGAGTCATAACAGGATGGACCCACCTCAAGTCGGTGCCCATGTGCCCAGAGCCACTTGTGAGCAGCATGCCTGTACCCCACATGCAGTGGTCCCAGAGCATCCTCTAGCTGAAGTTTCCTCAAACAGACCTGTCTGATCAGCCCAGAGACTTGGAGACTTTGGGGCTGGTGAGATAGGTCTCATTAACCATTAACCATTCCAATGTCCGATTTCCAGCCACAGATAAGGTATTGTGGAGTGACCAGACCAGCCCAACTGGTCAAGGCACAATGAGAAACTCAGACTCAACATTGGTGGGACTCAAACTGACACCCAGGTTAGATTATTGCAAGAACCCTGGACACCAGGATGAGGGCTTGGTCATTGGGAAGCTAAAAACACAAGGGAGTGGGTCAGAATGGCCTCCAAATGCTCTCTGAGGACAAAGCCAATCAGGCCCCCATGGCCCCAGGACTGCACAGCACCAGGCATCTCCCCCACAGGGTCCCACCCTCTCATGCTTGCTTCCATAGGGCCTGCACTGCCAGGAGGCACACTCTTCCACCAACCAGTTGTGACTCAAGCCTTCTGGGTGTGTGAGCCTGCACAGAGGTCAACCCAGCGGGCCTATCACCCCTGTTTGCACAGTTTGGTGTGGGTGGGGTTACCCCCAGCCTTGAGGAACACCTCGAGATAGCCCAGAGTTCAGACACCTGCTCTAGGGCTTCAGACAAGAGGAGGTCTCTCTCAAGGGAGTTTCCTAGCTTCTGAGAGCCAGCAGCTCTGGCCATGAGGTGGGGGTGGGGGGCTCCCCAAAGCCATGCCTCCACACCCCTTCCACCCCCCAAGATTCTTTTGATCACTATCAACAGGCGCTGGCTCTGCTGAGGGGTCCAGGTGCTACCTAATAGTAGACCAACCAGCTTCCAAGCAAGAAGGCCAGAGCCCACCAGCTGCAGGAAGCTGTTGGCATCAGGTGAGGAAGGGATCACCACTGTACTCGGGGGCAGGTGTCTTGCTTTTCTGGGGAAAGGGAGCACAGAAACCCACTCCCCATGAAACATTACAAGGTCTGGTTAGACTGGGAGTGGAGGGAGTTGGTAGCAGGTCTAACCCAGAGTTACTAGATCATGGGCTGCCAGGGTATTTGGAGGAGAGGCCCAGCGTGACTGTGCACGGCTTCTGTCTTAAAGGGGCTACTGGGTGGCATCCAGCCCAAGACCGGGTAATTTTGAGGGACCTGAAAGGGATACCTGGAGAAAGGGGGGCTCAAGCAAGCCTTGGAGAGTGAGTAGGGAGAGGGGCTGGGGCGGTGGATGCAGACCTCAGACCCAGGTATGAGCCAGACGCCTGCCTGGAAGGGATTGCAGAGCTGGGTTCAAACAGCCACTGGGAGGGAGCCTGGAGCCAGGGACTCCCAGCTCCCTTTCCTGGTCAAACCGTGCTGGCCCCTCAAGAGTCTTCCTCAATAGGCAGCGACAGACTACCAAAGTCATCAGGAAGACCTGCCTTCTTCTCAGAGCTGGATGTTGCCCCAGGCCATACAAATAGGGATAGCCAAGTTCCTGGGTTGGGGCTGGAGATTCATGGAGTCTCTTTTCTGTCTGTCCTGCTCAGGCTGCTCTCACCCTCCCTGAAGTTCTTTATCTGCAGGCTGAAAGCTACTGGTAGGTGGGGACCGTGGGGGGAATGGCTCCACCTGGTGGCTTTATTTTTACTTGCACCTTTACCACCATGAGGACCTGGGGGTCCTAAGGGACCTTGATCTCTCCTGGCCTTGAGAATCTCTCTAGTACCAGGAGCTGGTGTTACTGAGGCCCCAGAGTCCTCCATAGCTAGCTTCCAAACAGTCCAAAGTGTCCCTGTGGAAATACATGTGTCACCACCAGGCTATCCAGAATGCCTTCCTGATCTACATGCTGTGAGAAACAGCTTATGGACCCTCTGGGCCCCCCTCCACTTGTTCTCACCGCAAGGGTGGAGGACTTCAGCCCAAGAAGGGCACAGAAAGGAACTCACATGTGCACACACACACACACACACACACACACACACAGAGAGAGAGAGAGAGAGAGAGAGAGAGAGATCTCAGTATTACTTGAATTCCAACATCCATGTCGTCTCCTTCATTACCAATGGCAAACGTGGCTTTGCCCACTTGAGCCTGGCTTCAGCCCTCTTGTGCTAGGGACCCTTGAGGAACAACACGGCAGCTCCAGCTCCCACCAGCCTTTCCACCAGGAGCCACTGGGGGCACTCTGGCCATCCTGTGGATTCCTGCCTAGCAGAAGCCTTCAGAAGGACAGACAGGAGTGAAGTTAGTGGACAGAGAGGCTGTTGAGGGCTGCAGATCACCCCCTCCCTCTTCAGGAGACTCCCCAAGCCTCCACTTCCACCAAACTACAGACTGGAGTCTGAAACCGAGCTAGGGACTAGCTGTATGATTAATAGGGCCTGGGGATGAATTAAAATGTGGTACCTGTGCTAAAAATTGAGGGATTTCAAGAGATGAGGAGGGCAGTCACAGTGACCCTCTCAGGACCCCACCAGGCCACTCTCCATTGTCATTATGGCTTCTTGTTAACCTCTGCATCTCTGTTCCAGGGCCATGCCAACTTCAGGGCTCTAGCCTCAGGCCATCCCTGGAAAGCTCATGGGTCCACGTGTACAGGACCGCTAAAGGGAGACCTGGAAGGCTACTTACAATCAGTGAGGGGTGGATGCTTCTGGGCTCTCCGGGCTGTGGCTGTCTCTCTCCATCCTGTCAGGCAGTGAGGCCCTGATGTTACAGAAGGGGGATGTCCCTTGGAATCATGTTGGGGACTCCAGGCGGAGGGTATAGGAGAGAAAGTCACTCCTGGAGGGGAAGGCTAGACTAGTAACTTGTATGCAGTCTGGGCTTAGATTTGGCAGGAGTACTGGCAGGCTCTTGTAGCATAGTGGGGTAGACTCAAGCTTTAGAAACTAAGTCCTGTCTAGTAGTTACTATCTAGAGAAGCTGGAGTGCGGGGAGCAGAGGGGGGAATCTGAGTTCAGGGAGTCATAGTGGCTCCTAGCCCCCAGCTGGGGACCCCACTCTTCCTGCTCATGGTGGAAGAAGCCAGCCTACCAGGTGTGTACCCTCCTCAGGCCCTGGGCAGGTGGGGTACAGAGGCCAAGGCAGCTCCATGGCCTCCTCCTTCCCACTCCCATGCCAAGGGTAGCCAAGCAGGCAGGAAGGCAAGTTTAGGCCGGTATTGATTCAGCGTGGAGGAATGTTTAAGCTCTCCCAGCTATGCCCTGCCCCTGCCTGCCCCCGCCTCACCCTCATCCCCAGGCACTGCTGGCCTGGTGCCCATGCCAGCAAAGCTCCTTCAGCCTAGGCTTGCTGGAGCGCATGCCCACTTGCTGGTGGCCCTATGCCCTGTACCCCAGTTCCCTCCCACATGACCTCATGGCCCAAGCTGCTCTTGATCCTGAGGCTACAGTGATCTGGACTACCTGGAAGAATGTGATAGGTCTTTGGAATGCATGGGGGCTATGATGGGTCCTCCTCAGGAAATGAGACACCCCTGATAATGGGAAAAGGCCTCTGAGTCCAAGGAAAAAGGGCAAAGCTCCTCCAGCCATGTGTTAGAAGGTTCTACTGAGCAAGGGCCAGCGAAAGTAGGTACCAGGCTGCCCAGGCCTGGACTACTTGGCTGGGGTAGGGGCCTGAGGAAGGTGGAAAGAGGCTGGGCTTGTGACCGCTAAGTCAGTGCTTTGGACAAGGCCCAGAGCCTCTCTCTGCCTAGTTTCCTGACTAGCACCCTTGCCCCTGGCCACCTATGCTGCCTTCTAATCTAAGGTGGACCCAGTACTTGCTGCTGCCAGCTAAAGAGGCAGTACACAGAGGTTAGAGGGCCCCCTCAAGTGACCTGGATTCCACAGTTATCTCCTCCTAGCCAATAGGGGCAGGAAGATGGGGCGTGTCCCAGACCCCCGCAGCACCTCAACCCCAGTTGACAACACTGCTGAACCCAGTCTCATTCCAGATCTCACTACCAGGATCCCCTGTGAGTGGCTGGAACCCTAAGAGTGGTGTGGGCATGGTCCAGTCTAGTGGGAACCCAGATAGTCTAGAGAGGCGTTTCAGCAGCTTTTTCTCCTGGCTCAGGGGCCCGCTGGGCACTCTTTATCGTCATTCTTGCTGCTGGAGTCCTCCTGGTCTCTTGTCTGCTCTGTGTCATCTACTGCTGTTGCCGTCGCTGCCAACGCCGTAGGAAGCAGCCCAAAGACAAAGAAGCTGTGGGTCTGGGCAGTGCTCGCGGCAGCACCACTACTCACCTGGTGAGGAGCAGAAACCTGCATCTACCTGCGCCCAATCCTGTACTGGCTCACTCCAGGGAGGGGAATGAATGGTCCAGACTAGGGAGCACAGGGCAGCCCTGGCAGGCCTTCCTGGCAGAGGAAGGAGATGAACAAAGGTAATGGGGGAGGAGGCATTCAGGAAGCATGCAGATGCTGGCCCATGGGCCACTGAGAGCTACAGTAATAGTACCATACACGCCGTGTTGAAGGCAGATAATGGCTGGCTGGTCTCAGGAAGCTGTCCTGAGGATGTGCGCAATTATGTGAGCTGGCCTGCTGGTAGTGGTTCGACCTATATTGTAAGAGCCTAGGCCTCTGGTTGAGGATTGGCCTCAACCATACTTATCTGACCACCCCTTCATCTACCTCAGGTTCAACCGGATGTGGACTGCCTGGAGCCCTGCTCTGGGGGACCCCAACAGTGGGGGCGATTGCTGCTCTCACTGGAGTATGACTTTGGAAGCCAGGAGGTGAGTCCCACTGAGCCGATCCAAAGGCTCCGTAGTTGACGGATGGTGTGATGGGTGAAGTGCCAGGTGGAGGGGAACATGGGAAGAGGACCCCCACACACAAGCTAAGCCAACCCACCGGCCCCCAGATTAGGGTGGGCCTGAGGCAGGCTGAAAACCTGAAGGCTGAAGGCACAGCAGACCCCTACGCCCGCATCAGTGTTTCCACCCAGGCTGAGAGAAGACACGAGACGAAAGTGCACCGTGGGACTCTCTGTCCCACGTTTGAAGAGACATGCTGCTTCCTGGTAAGTCTAACCTGGATAGGTAGAGCAGTCTGGGGTCAGAGCAGCGGGACTCAGCTCACAGCCCTGCCTGTAGGTCCCACCGGCAGAGCTGCCCAGAGCCACCCTGAAGGTACAACTGTTGGACTTCAAGCGGTTCTCAGAACATGAGCTACTGGGAGAGCTTCAGCTATCACTGAGCACTGTAGACCCTCAGCATGTCCTGGAGAGCTGGTACCTGCTGGGCCCTCCAGGTACCACTGAGGTGAGCCTGGCTGGCAGGGGTCTGCCTGTGCCATGAGGGTGGCCAAGGTCTGGGTGCTGTACCTGCTGAGCCCAAAATCCCAAGGGCAAAGATGACCGTCCCAGCTGCAGCCATGTCTTGTTACCCATAGCCCGAGCAGATGGGGGAGCTGTGCTTCTCACTACGCTACGTGCCCAGCTCAGGCCGTCTGACTGTGGTTGTGCTGGAGGCTCGGGGCCTGAATCCAGGGCTTTCAGGTAAGAGCTCTATTCGGGTGGACAGAAGACTGGGCCCTTGTGCTCAACCTTCCCACGTGCATGTATGGGACACCTTTTTTGAACTCTCTTTCCATGCAGAGCCCTATGTGAAGGTCCAGCTCATGTTAAATCAGAGAAAATGGAAGAAGAGGAAAACATCCTCTAAGAGGGACACAACTATGCCCTACTTCAATGAGGCCTTTACCTTCCTGGTTCCCTTTAGCCAGCTCCAGGTGGGGAGCAGGAGGAAGGGCAGGGTGGCCTGGGGTGTTGTGCTTGGCCAAACTGATGACCTTTTCCCTTCCATGTCTGCAGAGTGTGGACCTGGTGCTGGCTGTCTGGGCCCATGGCCTGCATCACCGGGCTGAGCCTATAGGCAAGGTTTTGCTGGGCCCCCGGGCTTCAGGCCAACCTCTACAGCACTGGGCAGATATGTTGGCCCATGCCAGACGGCCCATAGCCCAGTGGCACCACCTGCAGTCCCCCAGGGAGGTGGACCATGCTCTGGCCCTGAAGCCTCGCCTGCCCCTACCTAGGCCTCGCTCCTAAAAGAAGAACTGTAGGCTTCAGTTTCCCCAAATGGAGCTGTGGGCATTTGTCCAGGCTCTTCTGAGCTTTCTGTAATAAATGTCTTTTCTTTCCCACTCGTGCCCTGCCAAAGCCCTGTGAGGAGGACCTGAGGCACAAGGTGGGCTACATCTTGGCACCTCTGTCCTCTCAAGGATGGGGTAGGGTCTGAACAGATTTGCCAGTCCTGAACCTCTGCTCAAGGCCTGATTACTAGGTCTTCTTTGGGAAGATAGCACCATCCTCTCTGCCATCCAGGGATGGCAGAGGAGCAGGGGATTAGAGCTGGCCCTGTGGGGACAAGGTAGGCAACTGGTGGGGGGAGTTGTGGGTAGGGACAGTGTGGGGAAAAGACCCTACACCATGAAGGATGGAGGTATAGGGTGTCCTCTGTACTATCAGCAGGGGGCAGTAGATGCCTTCGGAAGCTACTCTGGGGCCTTTAGGGGCGCGCAGTTCTGGCCTGTGATATACTCTTAATCCCAGCACATCTGGCGGGCTTTAGCAGCTCCAACCCTCCCCTGATCCTCAGGGGCCCCAGAGAAGCAGGGCTGGGGCCAAGCCATGATCTGGGTGTCTCTGGGTGGGGTTCAGGAGCGGGAAAGGGGAAAGGGGTGAGGGCCTGGCCCCAGTGAGCCGGGCAATGTAGGACCTGCCTAGGCAACCAAGGGCCCTGAGCGCCTACGGGTCAGAGAGAGGTTCCTAGGGCGGTGGCACCACTCTCTAGGGTTGAAGGACATGTTCCAAGTTGCCTGTGCAGAGAGACAGATACCCATGGGCTGGGTGTGTGGCAGGCTGGGAGAGGCCTAGCTACTGGTCCAGAGGCCCATTTGTTCCTCTCCCTGGGCAGAAAGGCAAGTTCACTACAAGAGACACAGGGCCAGAGAGACTGTTTTGGTGTTTTGGTTTTGTTTGCTTGCTTTTGGGGGTGGGTCCAATTTTGAAGGAAAACTGAAATGGTGAACAGTCAGCCCAAGGCCCCAAGCAGGGAGAGAGTGACCAGATAGGTGCTGAGTTACAAGACAATTTGACAGTGACTCCATTTCAGCCCACTTGTGAGGTCAAGTTTCCCTTGGAGGGAAACTTCAATGGATGCTTGAACCGGGTGGGTACGCTGGAGACCCACATGCAATGTGACTCTTGCTGTCCTGAGGGTTCTTGCAGGAACAAGGGTGGCATCTTGAACTCGTCACTGAGACATAAATAGAGCAAACCAACCCCAACACCCACCCCAAGACTTCTTGGACAGGCCAGCGCCTGGGCTGGCTGGCCAGCAGGCTGGGCAGGTGGGGAGGCTCTCCTCCTCTCTGTGCCCCCATTGGTCTGAGGAGACTCCATGCCCTTTCTGAGCAGGGGCCCGGCCCAGGGAAAGCCATTTATACCCCTCCCCCTGGCCCACCAGCCCAGCTCACTGCTGCCTGCCTGACCTCGCTCCCAGCCCTGCTGCACAGACTCTAGGTGAGGCCTGGCCCATCTTCTTGAAGCTGGAGAATAGGGCACTACTCAGGCTAGCTTGCAGAGGACTTCCCTGGGCAGGGACTTGGGGGTCTGGGGTCTGCTGCCAACAGTTCTCTCTGGGGGCTCCCACAGATCTGGGATTGAAAAACAGCAGGTGCTGGCAGGATGGGGCAGGGGTCTTCAGTAGGCCTCTGATGACAGGCACTGACTGGGGATACACAAGCAAGAGAATGTTCAGGTCAAGCAAGCGGGGACCTGAGCTCCCAGGCCACACAGAAGAGCTCTTTCTTCCATGTATTTACTTCTCCAGGCAAAGGAGGAAGAGTTAAAAATAACAGGCTCACCCTGGCAGCCACCTGTGCTGGCCAGCCCCACCCCTCCCTCAGGGACAGCTGCAGCTCCTCAGGCCCTGCCTGGGACATTTTGGGAACACTTTCTCCTCTTACTTCTCACCCTCAGGGTGGGGGTGGGGGATGTCCTCTAAACCCTTGCCCTTTGAGAAGGTCTGAGTTGGGGTTGAGCAGAACTGAAGGAGTGAGCGCGGGTCTCCATGGTTGGCTTCGCGCAAGATGGACACTGACACCTTCCCTGCTCTCTCCCCACAGGCTCAGAGCTCCAGACTTCAGGATGGGGGAGTAAGTGGCATCCAGTGTGACACCCCCCACTGCAGTTCCCTCACCAGGGCTTGGGTCCCATATCCCCCTGCCTTCTGTGGCGACCACCCACCCCTTCAATCCCACCTACCCCAAGGTTCCATGGCCACTCCCATGAGCCTAACTTCTCTTTTCTCTCCCCCTCCCTCCTCCCTCTTCATCCTGGGACAGTGAGGAGGTGAGTACCACTCAGGCTATGACGGTTCCCTGAGACTAAGTCAGAAGACACACCTGCCAAGGTCCCCAAGTGCCCCGCCCCCTGAACTACCCCAGAGAGAGAGGAAGTGCCTGCCTGGTGCCCAGTGAGAGGGAAGTGAGATGCAGGCCTAATCATTAGGGAATCACTTCTCCTTCCTGATTTCTGTTCACCACTCACCTCCCAGGCCTCCCCCTGCCCACGGCCTCTGAGCCCTGGCCACACCCCTCCCCATTCCCAAACCCCATTACCCCCTTCAACCTTATGTGCCACCTAAATGAAGTGTCAGGACCACAGGCTAAAGTAGGCTCTGGACTGGGGAAAAAAGCAGGGCCCTGGGCAGTGGCCCTGTAGCCTCCTTAGGAGCCCTGGGTTAGATGGGGCTTCAAGGAGATCAGTGTTCTAGCCAAGGCCTGACCCTGTCCTCTCTGTCCTGTCCTGCAGAAGCGCAACAGGGCCATCACGGCCCGGAGACAGCACCTGAAGGTAGGGATGGGCTGCGGGGGGTGCAGAGGTGGGGGATGGGAGTCACTGCAGACCCTCACTCTCACCGTTCTGCTTCTCAGAGTGTGATGCTCCAGATCGCGGCCACAGAACTGGAGAAAGAGGAGAGCCGCCGTGAATCTGAGAAACAGAACTACCTGTCGGAGCACTGCCCACCCCTGCATATCCCCGGCTCCATGTCTGAAGTGCAGGTAGTCCCTTCCTGCCACAGACCGCCCCAGGCCCTGCTACCCCCATTCCTCAGCAGGTCTGGCCTGCTGGGTCAGAGCTGGGAGGGACAAGTGGTCCTCACATGTCAGGGTGGCCACCCATCCTCTGCTTGCCCACCCAGGAGCTCTGCAGGCAACTGCATGCGAAGATCGACGCGGCTGAGGAGGAGAAATACGACATGGAGGTGAAAGTGCAGAAGAGCAGCAAGGAGGTGAGGGGGCATGTGGTGTGGGGTGTGGCCAAACGATAGGGGGTGGGGACAAACGATACGGGGGTGGGGCCGGCTGATGAAATGAAACCAGGTGGTGTGAAAGGAAGACCAAGGTTGGGGACATGGGGGCTGCCAGGTCCCTAAACCTCCTGCTCCTTCCTCTCAGCTGGAAGACATGAACCAGAAGCTATTTGACCTGAGGGGCAAGTTCAAGAGGCCCCCGCTTCGGAGGGTGCGTATGTCAGCTGATGCCATGCTGAAGGCGTTGCTGGGCTCTAAGCACAAGGTGTGCATGGACCTGAGGGCCAACCTGAAGCAGGTCAAGAAGGAGGACACTGAAAAGGTAGGCCAGAGCCCAGGGGAGAGCCAAGCGGGAGAGTTCACTCACTGTCCCATTCAGAGAGAGTGAACTGAGGCCCAGGGCAGTCTGAGGAAGACTGGGGTGGGTCTGAGAGCTCTCTGGTTCCACCCTCAGGAGCGTGACCTGCGTGACGTGGGTGACTGGAGGAAGAATATTGAGGAGAAGTCTGGCATGGAGGGCCGGAAGAAGATGTTCGAGTCTGAGTCCTAACTGCCCACTGCCCCACCCCACCCCACCACTGGGGGAGCACCCAACAGCCAGGCTGGGAGTGCCTGGCCTCACACCAATAAACGACTCACATCCCTATCACTGGTCTGGTCTAGTTCTGTCTGCCCACTCCGGAGCCCACCAGCCATGATCAGTAGTGTGGCAGTGTGGAGGCCACACAGCTTGGGTACAGTTCAGGGACACTGAGCAGTACTCTGTAACTGGTGGGTATGGTCCATTTCTGGACTTGCCTAACATGACAGGGCCTGTAGAAAGATGACTATGGGACTCCAGCAATATCTGAGTGGGAGGTTCTAGGATCAACTCCTTTGTCCCTTGGTACAGTCATCCACTGGGAAAGGCTTTGGCAGGCACACCCTGGGGCAGGCTCAGTCTCCATTCCTCCAGCTGTGCCCCTTCTCAGGGCCCTCTCTTCGGCCAGAAGCCAGGAGCCACCCTGAAAGGCTGACCCTCTGCCCATCATGCCCAGACTCAGTCTACGTCAACCCTATCTCCTCCTACACACTCTCTACCTAGTGCCTACCCCTCTCTGGGCACTGAGGGATGAGGGTAAGGCTGAGTCCGCACAATTTGCCTGGGTACCTCATTGCCTGGATCCTATTGGCCTAACAAGGTCAATAATATACCCATTCTGAGGAACTTGGGGCCTGGGATGGTTCAGCACCAAACTTCATAGCTGGACCACAGGCTCGAGGCGTTCCCACAGAGGTGCACATGGCTACTCTGAGTCAATAGCTCCCCACTTCCTCCAGAGACTTGTACTGAGATGGGTCCCTTTTCCTGGGTAAAACTGTGGCAGGCCCAGCATAGCTCTACCTTGGCCAGGAAGGGAACTTGTCTTGTTTTTGTTGGGTCCCAGGCCCTGGCCTAACTAGGATAATATTCCCAACAGGTCTGACAAGAGCCATCTTGGTAAGGCTGTGACCCCATCCTCTTTTTGTGTGAGATGCTGTCAGGGTCCTAGGTCTTCAGTGGGGACCCAACAAGAGGCTGCCAGCCGCATTCTGGAGTTGTGAGGGTCTCTGGAGGGTGTTCATTGATGCTCAGAAGGCACGTCATTGAGAATGGCTCCCTGGCCTTCCTCCAGCCTCAGGATCCACCGCGCTCCTTTCACTGGCTCACAAAGCCCATGCTAGGAAGAGTCTCAGCCCTGGCCTTTCTCCCCAGTGTCTAGACTGACTACTACAGCAGCAGGCCAGACCTCTGGAGACAGTTCTGCCTCACTATGGGGCTGAGCAGGGCAAGTCAGAGCAGGT